AGGATGGTCTCGATCTCCTGACCTCGTGGTCCGCCCATCTCGGCCTCCCAAAGTGCTGGGATTACAGGCTTGAGCCACTGCGCCCAGCCTTGGCTTCTAGTTCTAATAGAGGAAGGCAGATCAGGAAGAGGAGGAAGGGCGGGGGCTGCATTCTGGGAAGACAGGGTTACCCTTACCAAACCAAGCCTGCTGCTCTCCCTGTACTTCGATGGCTAGGCCAAAATCAGCCAGCTTGACAGCGGCACCCTTGCATTTACTCGCCAGCAGCAGGTTCTCAGGCTGCAGAAGGAACAGAGAGAACCTTGTGAGCACCCACCCTGCAGCCCAGAGGGAGCCTAGTTTGGACCTACGCAGTACCATTATCTGGCACCAGGTGGCGCCAACACTTCATAAGCAAAGGCAAGGAGAAGGGCCTGGGTAGTACCTTCAGGTCCCTGTGGACGATGTCATGCTGGTGGATGTGGTTAACACTCTCCAGAATCTGATGTATACAGTGGCTAAAAAAGCAGAAGGAAAAGAAATGTTAGTGCAGGCTTAAACCACCTCATCCACATCCACAACCACATGCTGCAGACTAAGGCATGTGACAAGGGGCCATGGATTCACAGAGAATCGCTTAATAGCCACCGGAACCTTAGACTCTGCACATCATCTTGGTCAACCTATTTAAAGAAAGAGGAAACCAAGGCCCAGGAAGATTCAATGGTTTCTCTAGGATCACCACTAGAATGGGTTCACCTCACCCCCTTTTGACTGGAAAGGTCTAACACAACCAATTCATTTCCAAGAGATCAGGAGACAGCCCAGAATGCTGAGGAAGATGAGACCATCCAACTCCTTCCTTCTTTCTCTCTCTCCATATAGTAACTTTGTTCTTAGAGAAAAGGTTTGTGCTGGTAACTTAGGAAGGAGAGCCCAACTAAACAACCTAAGCTACTTTGAGGGTGGGTGCACTCATTCATTCCCCTAAATGTTTATTGAGTGCCTAGGATATGAAGATGGACAAGACCCAACAGCTGCCCTGAGGTTTGGCACCCAGTAATGCAGCTAAAACAAGTATCTAGATGCCTTTAAGAAAAAATTTACTTGAGAGCTTCCAAACAGGGCGCTTGAGGAGCACTTCTGATGATTTTGCATAGAGAAAAAAACCCAAAGTTACATTATTTTATTTATTATTTTATTTTTGAGACAGGGTCTCACTCTGTTGCCTGGGTTAGAGTGCAATGTCGTGAACACAGCTCACTGCAGCCTTGACCTCCTGGGCTCAAGCAATCCTCCCACTTCAGCCTCCCCAGTAGGCTGGGACCACAAGCATGAACCACTGTGCCCAGCTAATTTTTGTATTTTTTGTAGAGACAAGGTCTCACCATGTTGCCCAGGCTGGTCTCAAACTCCCGAGCTCAAGTGATCCACTCACCTTGGCCTCTTAGTGTTGGGATTACAGGTGTGAGCCACTGCGCCCAGCCACAGTCACACACGTAAATCAGACTGTCCACATTGCAAACCATCCTGCCATCCCTGTCATCAAACTCCTGGCAGGGAGTGGGGGCAGTCTAGAGCAATGGTTTTCAACTGGGAATGAATTTGCCCCCCCACCCCCACCAGGGGACATTTGGCAATGCCTGGAGAAATTTCTGGTTGTCACAACTGGAGGAGGGATGCCCCCAGCATTTGGTGGGCAGAGGCCAAGGATGCTTCTAAATGTCTGCCACAATGCACAGGAGAGGCCTCACAGCAAGGAAGTACCTGGCCTAAAACGTTAGTAGCATCAAGGCTGAGGCACTTGGCCTAGAGCATAGACCCCTGTCATCAGGTACTAGCTGGTATACTGAGCATGTCTGCAGAGCATCCCGGTGTATTGGGCTGGGTGGCCTGGACTTACTATTCCTAAAATCTGATGCTGGGGATCCCACAAGAACCAAGAGGTCGTACTGGGTCCCTGGGGGCTGAAACTCGGGCCTCTCCATAGGACATAGCCCAAGAGTGGGCCACAGAAACTTTAAGACTGAGCTATAGAGGCGAATCTCCACAGAGATGTATAATTAGAACAGAGCCGGGCTAGCAGGGAGCGCCTTCTGGCCAAAAATGGCAAAAGTGCGAAGTGTCCCAGCAGAGCCAGGCCAAGCCCACTGGTACAGTCACCCCCCTCAGGGCCTCCTCCCTACAGCTCTCCCTCCTCCCCGCAGGCTCCCTGAGCCATCACTGCCTCCTCTGTCTCAGAGCCTGGTCCTCCCCTGCTGGCACTGGAATTCATCTCCCCACTTGAGAATTCTTCCCGAGGCTGAAGCATCTGAAGTTGATCAGCAAACACTGGCCTCTCAGGGTTGAGAAATTCGTGAGGAAGCTGCACTCCCCCACTCTACAGAGGCAGCCAGAGCTGCCACATAAGCCAGATAAGCTGCAGGCAGGATGATCAAAACCAGGTTGTAGGGACATCACCGTCCGAGAAAAGCGAGGCTGGGGGAAGAGCCAAGGCGGGAAAAGCAGGCTGAACAGGCGCCTCAGAGTGTGGGTGAGGGAGGCACCAGGGATTCCAGGGAGGGCAGAGGCTGAGGTATGTGGCCGGGGAATGGTCCTCAAGTTGCAGGAGCCCCACGGCAAGGCCGGTCATGGTGGTCTAGGGACAAGGTGACAGAGGCTGAAAGTTCCCGGGGCTCTCTGGTGGGATTATTACCTAGAACTCTCCACTCCCTCAGGATAGAAATCATGTTTTCTGCACCTCTGCATCATGCCAGAGCCTCAGCACAGTGATTTGAGAACACTAGAATTTGTCAAAGGAAAGAAAAGGGCAGAGGGGGACATTGGGCATGGTGGCGAGCATACAGTAGTGCAAAAAGAAGTATTTCTGGGGTCACAGGGTAAAGGAGACTTGGAAAAGCTTTGTAAAACATTCATCTGGAAGTGATTGTTTGGGTGTGAGGGGAGGGGGACGTAGTCTCGCTCTGTTACGCAGGCTGGAGTGCAACGGCATGATCTTAGCTCACTGCAACCTTCGCCTCGCAGGTTCAAGTGATTCTCCTGCCTCAGCTGCCCAAGTAGCTGGGATTACAGGCGCACACCACCACACCCAGCTAATTTTTTTGTATTTTTAGTAGAGACAGAGTTTCACTATGTTGGCCAGGCTGGTCTCGAACTCCTGACCTCAAGTGATCCAACTGCCTCGGCCTCCCAAAGTGCTGGGATTACAGGCATGAGCCACTGCGCCTGGTTAAGAAGTGTTGAATTTTTAACTTCTAATATCACCCACAGTATGTAGCCCTAGCCCAGGTCAACAGAATCTTTCTCCAGACAAGAGATATTCTTATCTTCCCCAAAGACTATTCAAACAGGCACAATGCTGGCCCCCAAAGGTGGCCAAAACTTACTTCAGTCCTAAACTCCAGAGCTACGCTTGAACTCTCAGGCCCTCATCCTACCTGGCATCTGCTTCACTGTAGTACTCTCTGGCCACAATGTCTTCAAACAGCTCCCCGCCGGTAACACTGCAACCAATGGGAAGAAGAGGGTCAGAGGTGGAAAGGGTCCCTTGACCAACCCCAATGTCCAAGAAGAAACAGGGTCACCCTGTAGAATGGCTTTCAGAGAAATCCCAACTCCCCATGCATTTCATGTGAGAGCTCAGAACACACTCGATCCTTCAGTGACACCCGGATTCTCCTTGAGGTATCATGGGCCCGCCCTCCCTTCTGGACATTTCTTTTTCCAAAATCCACAGATTCACTAATAGGCAGAGATGAAGATACAGGGATCTAAGAGAAAACAGTCAACCTACCCCAAAAGTCACAGCTTTGAGACCAACATAAACACTAAAATATCACTGCCCAGGAAGGACAGAGCTACTACTGAAGTTGAAGAGTAATGAGACCAATGACACAGACCCAACCCTGAGAATCCTGGAGAGGAGTGTCCAGGAGGTGAAGAGCCACTTTTAAGACATTAAACCACAACCAGCATGGAGGAGAGACCCAATCCAATGGAGCCTGGTTTCCGACTAATGAAAGCTACCTCTGATTTCTCAGGATTTTTAAGGTCATGCAAAGAGCTGTATTTTATTTCTTCACTAAGGACAGCACACAGACACAAGACAAAGGCATCTGCGCAAGGTGTGCTGCTGAACAGAAGTGCGAGAGGAACGCTGTCCTGGGATTCAGAGCCCTGGGGGGACGCTGAGGGAACATGGAGACCCCCTTGGTGGGGGCAGCAATCTGCCCCAGTCAAATCCTTTCTCTCGGACCAAGGAGGGGGCCCTGGGCAGAGGCTGGAGAGCCTGTTTAGGCCTCTTCCTGAGCCTTCATTTTGAGCCAGCTGGAGGGAAAGGCCCCCACACCCTCAGAAAGTGGCACTTACAGGTCAAACACGAGGTAGTGAAACCCTTCTTCAGAAATACTGTCATGGAGGCGCACTGCAAGAGAGGAGATGGGGACAGAGATTAACAGAGAGAAAACTCGGAAATCCTGGGCTTCTCCTCCTCAGTAGCCCCGCCCCTGCCCCATCCTGTCAGGCTCATGGGGCTCTCCAGAAGGAGCAGCGTGGGGAAGTGGCGACGTGCCCAGTGCCCCCCAGTGCAAAGCTACACAGCCTGGGAGCCAGAGTCTGGCGCTCTGGTTGCCACCTCAGACTCAGGCAAGAGAGAAAAGCTTCATGGCTAAGAAGTCAAGATGGAGAGAAGCCGGAACCTTCTCAGAGGGCTGGTCTCCGAGAAGGTGGTCCTGGGATATGATGCACGATGGTGAGATGCAGCGTGAGCAGCACCTAGCAATGTTGACGGCAGGGGACAACAATGACCAGATGGGAAAGCCAGAGAGCTCTTCCAGAGCAGTAAATGGGAGCAGAACTAAGGGGAGGGGAAGAAGGTGGAAAGGCAGAGCTCAGCAGGAAGGCACGTGGTGCAGGATAATGGATGGCGAGCCTGGAAGGCCACGCACACATTCAGGCAATGACGACAATAACAGTTTATTAAGTGCTTTCTATGCCAGGCCTTGTGCTAGGCTCTTGCATACATTACTGATTCTGCAAGCATTTATTGAGTGCCTACTGTGTGCTGGACCCCATGCTAGGTAGTGGGATTCAGGAGGAACAGACACAGTGCCTGCCTTTGAGGAGTTTATTATTCCTTTCAACCAGCTGAGATGAATGTTATTCCCATTCTATAGATGAGGGCACCAGAGGCTCAGGGACATAAAGGCCAAAGAGCTTCTAAGTGGTGGGTCAAGATGTGAATCCAGTGCTACCTGACCCCAAAGACTGTGGTCTACACCACTGCTTCCCGTAAGAAACATGGGGCAGCCCCCATATCCAGGCAACAAAGCCCTGGCATCCAAAAGAAAGACCACTTACAAATGTCCCTAAAGCAGCATCGCAGACAGGTCCGGGAGGGCGCCGCAGGAAGAAGACTCGGGCGACGCACCAGCTGCGAGAAAAGGCTGGCAGGCGGAATCCCTCCCCGCTCCCCGCCTCCAAAGCTCTTGGGCAAAAAATCAACCTGAAGTCTTCTGAGGTCTCCTCTTCAAGTTTCTGCCCACAAAGCCACCTCTGGGTTAAATGCCAACCCCTGAGCATCATTCTAATGCAGACACAACTCCGCTTTGGCTGACTGTCCTGTCCCTCCCCTCACCTGAACTCTCTTGATGGGGAACCTCTGTTCCAAAGGCCTCCCTCGGTTTGACCTTTGCTCCAAGCCTTGGCAGTTACAGGCGTACCTCATGGAGCACTTCAGGAATGGCCTGACACCAAACTAACTGGTTCAGTGATGGGAGACAAAGAAATGGCCATGTCTCTTCCTGGGTGGGCCCTGGCTGCTTCCGTTTCCAGTGTCATACGTTTCCTCAGGGCTGAGGTGCTTCCCTTTGTCCCCTCCCCATGAAGCAAGATCATTCAGAAAGCAAAATATACAACCCAGCCGGCGCAGTCCCGAGGCACTGACCTATAGCCCTCTTGTTCTCCTCCCTTGATGACTGAGGACTGCGAAGCCTGCCAGGGCTGGAGCCAGGGCCTCAAGACTGTTTCCGCCTCCCATTACCTACACTACCTGATCTGATCTAGTGACTCAACCCCCAAAATCCCATCCCAATCTCAGTATTTCTGCGAACAGGATCAAAGGCAGGTGATACTTCCAATATTCTTCCTCCTTAAAACATTCTCTCCTGGGTAAACAAGATGCTTTCCTAGGCCTGTAGATGACAGAGGGGGCTTTTAGGACAGGAGGAAGGAGCCAGCACCAGGCCCCTGCCTTCCTCCCATAAAAACTAGCCTGGGCACACTCCATATACACTCCATCAAGTGCTCTAGAAGTCCTGCCACTGCCTCCGTCCCACTCACTTGCGCACCTCTGGTCTAAGTCGGTGCCTCATGCTGATTCTCGCTGCAGCTGCTGCTCCCTCGCTTCCAAAAGGACTTTCCACTTAATTAAAAATTTGCTATTAAAAAGCATTAAAGTGTGTAATACAAATAATCTCCTGGAAATCAGCTGTCCCAGAAGCTACAGACCAGCTCCATTAGGGAGGTGACTAACAGCAGCAGCATGGGGAGCTAACGGGACAGCAGGTGTGATGCTGACAATCATCTCAGAGAAGTGGAGCCGCTCAGCTCTGCCTGGGCCTGGCGCTGAGCCCTCCCTCAGCCAGAGCCCCACCCCATGCCCCACACCACCCTGCCCCCACCCAGCACAGCAAGGCCAAGAACAGGGCAAGAAGTGCAGGCACCCAGGCCTCTGCCTAGACATGGAGTTATTGGCGTCTGCCCTTCTCCAGGAAGGCCACACACAGAGCCCAGGTGGGAGGAAGCCGGGGAAGGGAATTAGAAGAGAGGAGCAGCAAAGGAAGACTAATCCTTCCAGGCCACCCAGCGGAGAGAACAGCTTTGATGTGTGCCCCAGAGCAAGGCGCCCGCCAAGACAAGGAGGGATGGAGGAAGCCGTATCTGAATAAGACTGCTATCGATATTTTTTTAATTTGTAAAGAAATTAACAGGGCACTGAAGACAAGAGGAGAAATGACTGTGCCATTCTAAATGCCTACTTAGCAACAGCAGATTCAGTCTTTCTTTTTTTTTAAGAGTTCAGGGTCTCACTATGTTGCCCAGGCTGGGCTAGAGATCCTGGTCTTGAGCCATCTCCTGTCTCAGCCTCCTGAGAGGCTGGGACTACAGCTGTGAGCTACTGCACCCCATTAGATTCTGATAATAACAATCTAAATCTAAGAACTAACACTTAGTTGAGCTGTCCCTGTGTGCCGGTGTTGTTCCATGGGCTCCATGTGCATTACTGTATTGAACCCTCACATCAACTGCGCAGGGTAGCTACTTACATATAAATAACCCCATCTGACAGGAGAGGAAACTGAGGCTCCATAAGAAACCTGCCCAAAATCACACAAAGCGGCGGAACCTGGACTTGAATCCAAGACAAACCAACATCAAGATTCCTGATATTGCAGAGTTGCTTGGGAGTCACCTTCTCAAACTCTTAGGCAAAGGAACTCTAATCTGTCCCCCCTACCCCTGGCCATTCTGACTGGCTTGACAATGTCCACTGGGCAGCTACCCTGGAGCAGGCGAGGCTGTACATGCTACGAATGTGGCCGTGAAGAAGAGGAGCCGGCCCTGCCACCTGGAGCTGCCAGGCGAAGAGGGAAGACAGGCTTTAAACCAGCAATTACACAAATGCGTAACTAAGCACAACTGTGTCATGCTGTGAGGCAGGAGCAGAGGGACTATGGATGCGTAGAATAAAATAATCTGACACCCAGCCTGTTCCAGAGTAAAGACAGAGCATGAAGGCCAACAAGGGCCAGGCCACGTCCATTGACAAGACGTGGGGAAAGGAGTATAAAAGCATTTACTGCATTTCAGCAACAGACCTAATTGCTGTTCTTTAAAAACCATAAAAGACAGAACAGGCCAAAACACCTACAAACCTTTACTTGATATTTCATGTCTTCAAGGACTGAGATAGCCACAACCCAAATGTTGTGGCTATTTCCAATTCTTTAAAAACCACCCAACAATATGCCACATTTTAACTAACAAATCTTTCTCCAAAAAGCACTGAAAAAGTGTTGCTGTTAAAAATATCTGCAGCAATAACACAGTGGGAAGGAGGTCCTGTTGCCATGGGGGCTTGTGGGGGACTGAGCTGCCCCCCAAGAGTTTGCTGTGGCAGGGCTCCCCCCACCCCCACCCTGGGGGCAGGGATGTAGGAACTGCACAGTCATGATTCAATGTTTCTTTCTTTTTATTTGCAACTGTTTCTTTGCTACACTTACTGTTAGCTGAATGGGTACTAGGCTCAAGGGTAAATGGTCAAGCTTGAAAAACTTGTGAACTGAGTCGAGGCTGGGGGTCTTGAAGAGATCACTTCTAGGGGCTGGAATCTCCGTTTTCATCATCTCCCTCTTAGCCTCCTTTCCTGGCTGAACCCTTTCATAACAACTCCACAAAGGGACCCAGATAACAAAACAGAGGCAGGCACAGAGGAGTTAAATAACTTGCCAGAGGTCACAGCTACTAATTAGCAAATCCCAGATTCAACCCCCAAATCTGGATGCGACTCCAAAGCTGCAAACATTGGCTTCTCCAAGTGTAGACCAGCATGCGGACCAGTAGTATGAGCATCAGCTGGAGACTCAAGTCCTACCCCAGACCCCCTGAATCGGAATCTGAATTTTAACATGATCCCTGGTGAGTCATAAGCACATAAAAGTTTGAGAAGTGCTGCTCTAAACCACGATGCTAGACTATGATCAAAACTGCTGGGGCAGCTCAGCACGAAGGAAGACAGAGTCTATTCATTACAGGGCTTGAGAGCAGGGAGCAGGCAGATCACAGGTAGAACAGACTTCATTCAGACCTCAGACTTCACACCAGCGTCTCCTCCACTCAGCTCCCCACTGCTGGCCACACTCCCAGCACCGTTTGGAGTTCGGCAGTGTGCCTTCCACCCGACAGGCATTTTGTTGTTTGTTTGTTTGTTTTTAATTAATAAACTTTATTTTCAAAGCAGTTTTAGGTTCACAGCAAAATTGAGCGGAAAGTACAGGGTGTTCCCAAATACCCAAGAGAGAGCGTTCCCAAATACCCCATGTCCCCCCACCACACACAGCCTCCCCTACCATCAACACCTCCCACTGGAGTAGTAGATTTGTTACCATCTATGAACCCACATTGACTCATCATCACCTATAAGTCCAGAGTTTACATCAGGGTTCACCACTCTTCCAACAGGCTTTTAACTCCTGGGACAGAACATCTAGCTATTAAGGGGAAACAGCATGGCTGGCCCCTAGCACCAAATGCCCCATCTGAATTCAGTGCCCCCGAGTCTGACCGCAGCCGGGGCTGACCACGTGCTCTCTGCTCTAGCTTCCTCGACTGTGCACTGCTCTTGGGCTGGCCCGTTTGTTTCCCTTTGGGATGGAGTTCAAGAGGCCAGAGCCAAAAGGGTCACAGTTCTGAAGGGCAGCGCAGTGGAGAGAGGCGAGGAATAGTGAATTAGGGGCACAAAATTGCCTCCTCTCCTGCCACAAGCCAGGTCCAGATCCATGGCAACCGCAGCCTCCTGGACCTGCAGCTCCGCCGCATCTCCAAGAGCCCTGGTTCCCACTGGATGCTGGAGCTCCCAGGACACAGTCCTGACTCCCACTTCCCTCTGCCCACCCTCAACCCCAGAATCGGTCCTCGGACCAACCTCCTTAGGACCTGGGAGCAGTCACGAAATGGAAGCACAGTTCTAGGAAATCAGAGGCCAACATAGTGACTGTGCCCGACCTGGCCTCTGAGCAGACGGCCAGGATAGATGGTCTCCGCCTGCCTCCATTCTGAGCCCAGGGCAGATGGTGAAAGGAAACGGCTACCAAATGAAGTGAAGTCTAAGAGGTAAAAAAGTATGTATTTAATTCTAGAAATAAATAAAAAGATGCCTAGGGCTTTTTTCTGCTAGAATTCTATTTTGTCCTTCCTGTTAATTTCTCAATTGTTTTCATTATACCCTGACCCGTCCGTGGTCAACCCACCTTCGTCGCGGGTGATGCGGACGTGGTTCTGCCTCCCGCATCATTGACCCCTAGCTGCTGTTCTCCTGCCTATATGAGGTCAGATTATCACTGCTGTACCAGTTGGTCACAAGGAGCATAAAAGAAAGGAAGTTACCTTCCTCAGATATTGAGACCCAGGTCTGGAACATCAAAATGCTTCTGGGCTTATGGGTGGCTTTAGTCACGCACATGCTTTTTCTTCCTGTTCTGGAACTTCTAGGTCAGAGGTCACAAGCTTGCAAGGCCTGCAGGGGCCCAGGTGGGAAATGCAAATGTGAGCTCATAGTGGGTGACAAGGACGGTGGCCAGCGGGCTGCAGGGGCAGCCACTGCTCCCCACAGCTCCTTCTCGCCATGCAAGGTGGGGACTCAGCAGAGCTAAGCCTTCTGACTGGAAAGGCAAGGGAATAGATTTTTTTTCTTCAAAATGTGAAATCTCATTTTTAAATATTGGCAAATAATAAAAATATTTTTAGACCACTGAGCCAGCCAAGCAAAACATGCCTGAATCCATGACTGCTGTTCTAGGTGTTTCCCTCTGTGGGCCCTCTCCTACCCAGGGCAACACGTCAGTCCCCAGTGCGCTATTTTCAGGTAAAGGCCTAACCTCAGAGACCACCTAGGAGCTCCAGTAGTTCTGAGGCCAGGAACCCACTAGCTGAGAGGTGCTGGCTCTGCAGAACACACTGCATCAGGCAGAGCCGATCGCCACGAGCCACGCCAATCTGCTTCGGGTGTAATCCAAGCTGCTGATTGCCATCCACAAAGCCCTGCACAGCTGACGTTCTGACTACCTCAGAGCTGCTCCTCTCCCAGAGGGCTAGAGCAGGACCTCAGCCTTTCCCTGACAGAGCTCACTTTGAGTGTTCTAGCCCGAGACCTAGGAAGCCAGGGGCTGGGTAGCTCTGAAGGAAGCATTAGGCTTCAGCAAGTCACCTCACAGCCCTGGCCGCCAACAGAGCAGAGCAGGCGGCCTCCGGGGCACGGTGGGAGCCCCGATATTTAGGCCATGCCTGAGGAGCACAGAACACGTGTTGTCTTTTGTGATGACTCAGGGCTTTTAGGGAAAACCTAGGAGATGCTCCTTGCTCTGCCTCAAGTCAACACTGGGGCTTCTGCTCAGACACTGCAGCCAGCCCAGTTTCTGTCCCTTCTGCAAGGAGCACCAAATCAGGGCCAACGCTTTTGGCAAAGACAGTTTCAGCTGAACAAAGTAAAACTGAGCCAGAGTGGGTTGAGGCAGGCAAACATCCTCAGGCTTTAGCACAACCAACAATGTTCTCTTGTCCCCCAAGTCAGGGTGGGAGCAGGGAGAAATCCTCTTTTTTCTCCTTCCCCATCTGAGTGGTTCCTGCCATCCCTTCTCCAGAGAAGCCAGGCGAGGGGGCAGCTTGCTTTCCTGGCTCTGGGGAATACAAATGGGAGCACCATGGAAACCCCCAGAGGGTGCAGGACACTGCAGCAGGAACAAAACTCTTTCAGGTCCACAAACAAAATCCTGACCCTTTCATAAGGGCTGTGGATGGCCCCTGGTGAGGGATGCTGGCAGACTAGGAGCCCGGAATCTCACACGCTGAGGACCCTGGACCTCAGCCCAAAGACAGAAGGAGAAAGGGAAGAAATAGCGTCTGAAACCTATTCTGATGCCTCACACCCCAGCCCTGAGAAGGTGCCGCAGTGATGCAGATACTCAGGTCTCTAAACTAGAATGCCCCAGAATTCTGAGACACAGTTGCTATCCTGCTCATGTAAAAACAGACACCAGGTGAAGGTCCACAGACAGAGGTGATCCCACACACAAAAGCAGTGGATATCTGTTCTCCCTGCTTCTACAAAATACCCACAAAATGCTCCATGACCAGGCACTCACCGATGTTTGGATGTTTCAGAAGTCGACATATCCGAGCCTCACGTTCTAGTTTCTGGTGATCTAAAAGCAGAAGAGAAAAAAAAAAAGCCATCAACCATCCATTCTCCTTGTGGTCACCTTGTTACTCATATTCCTTCAGTTCTTAGGCACTAACTATGCACTTGTAATGATTTGCTGAAGTAATGCAGCAAGTCATGGCAATCCTGGAAACAGCTTCTTTTCCTTTCATTTTAGGTCTCACTCTGTCCCTCAGGCAGGAGTGTAGTGGCATGATCGCAGCCTCAAACTCCTGGGCTCAAGTGATCCTCCTACCTCAGCTCCTGAATAGCTGGAACTATAGGTGACAGCCACCAGGCCTGGGCCAGATAGTTGTGACCACCTTTTCCAGATGAGGAAATGAGCCAGTGAGCAGCAGAGCTGGGATTTGAATCCAGGTCTTCAACTAAAACTCTGGCGCTCTTTCCACCACAACAGGGTTTCAGTGGCCTAGGGTGTCCAGAATCTCTTTTATTTTTTTCTTTTTGAGACAGAGTCTCATTCTGTTGCCCAGGCTGGGGTGCAGTGATGCCATCTCAGCTCACTGCAACCTTCGCCCCCTGGGTTCAAGCAATTCTCCTGCCTCAGCCTCCCAAGTAGCTGGGATTACAGGCACACACCACCATGCCTGGATAATTTCTATACTTTTAGTAGAGACGGAGTTTCACCATGTTGGCCAGGTTGGTCTCGAACTCCTGACCTCAGGTGATCTACCCGCCTCGGCCTCCCAAAATGTTGGGATTACAGGCATGAGCCACCGCACCTGGCCCAGAATCTCTTTCTTGTTAAGAATACTAATAATAGCTAAGTTATACTGAGCACCTAATACATACTTGGCACTGGCTAGGGGTTTTGCATATATTCTCTACATAGTCCTGATGGCAAGCCTGAAACATAATGATGCTGATAATAAAGAGATTGATGATCAAGATAATGATGACTTAAAATAATAATAGCTAACATTTATTGAGAGCTTACTTCTACACCAAGCAGCTGCCTCTTTTAATTTATCCTCATAACAACTCTAGGAGGTTGGCATTAGTATGATGCCCATTTTATAGAAAGAGAAACCAGGACACAAATCCTGCTTCTCCCCAGGGTCCTCTTGGCCACCACTGCTGTGAGCTTTGACCTCTTCACATTCAGACGCCAGGATTACTTGGTTTTGGTGGAATAACCAGAAATCCACAAGTCCCCAGATCCAAGTGAGCTGTGTGGGTCAATTCCTTCCACAGGAAGGCAGAGCTCCAGTACGTGGGAAGAGAGGATGCTACTCACAGCACGGAGGCCTCACAGCCCTCCCCCACTGTCCTTCCCTCTTTCTGCTTGCTGAAATCCTGCCAAAAGTCACCTCCTTCATGAAGTCTTCCCTGCTCCTCTCGGTAGACTGTGACTTCTCCCTCCTACTCCACCCCCCCAATTTCCCAATGCACTTCTCACGATTCTCACATCATATATTACATCAGTTATCTTTCAGTTGCAAGCTCTTCGAAGGGCGGGGGTACCTTTCCGGGTAGTGCTTTCTAGAGTTCTTTCTGTAAACAGGGGCTTAATAAGGGTTCACCAATAACCACAGTAGTAGCCATAACAATCGCTTACTGAGCATTGACTACGTATCAGGCAGAGGCATGGATTACCATATTTCATACCTACAGAAACTCTGTGAAGTAGGGATCTGATTAGCTCCATTATATTACTGAGGAAACAGGTTTAAAAAGAGAGTCATCTGCCTAAGGTAACACGGACAGGCAGTGATGCAGGTGATCTGAGCCTAGAGCCCTCTTTCTCCACCCCTGTACTATTATGGCCAGATAAAGAATGGTGAGAGTTGAGTTAAGACTCCAGGCTTTGGAGGGGGTCCAAAAGGAAGAGAGTCCAGTTCACCCCGAATTATCCAGGCCCGGGCACGCGCCTCCACATCCATAGCTGCCAAGCTATTCCTGTCTCCCTGCCTCTACCCTAAACAGCAAACAGCCTCTGTAAATCTTCCCATGGCCCTCACAATGATCCCATCAGGTGAATGCTATGATTGTCCACATTTCCAGGTGATGAAAGAAACGGAGGCCCAGGGAAGTTAAGTAACTTGCCCAAGATCCCATAGCAGGAAAGGGATAGAATTGAGATTCAAACCCAGGCCTGTCAGTTTGAGATAATGTAGGGATTATGGACTAGAAGAAATTCACATTTATTGTTTCACTAACCAAACCCAGCTTTGTCCTAAACTTTCCCTCTAGCAACAGCTCTACTTTGTGGAAGGAGGTGGGGACAGACAGAGATTAGTTCCTACTGCCCAGCTAATCCGTCCCAGCTGCCCAAAGATCTGGGTCAGACCTTCCTTCCTGTCCCTGGGTTCAGCATGACCACCGACCAGGATGCAGCCAGGAGAACCCCAAGTAACTCCCAACTCCCAGATCACCTGGCATCCCCTGGTCCCAGGCACAGGGATGTGGCCAGTGACCTCCAGAAGCAGGCACTCAAGGAGGCTGTAACAGCCTCGCCTGGTGGCTGCGGGGCTTGCTTCTTCCAGATCTGGCAGGATGTTGACATGATCCCACCTTCCTTCCATCCCTGGACTTGAGATGGAGCTACCAAGCTAGCCAGCCCCAAAGCTACACACCCACAGCCCTCTCTCTGGGCACACATCTCACCACCCTCCAGTCCATAACTCTCGAGCTTGGTTGCCTGGGCAGGTGCAGGAGAACAGCATCTTGCAATGCGGAGGTGGCAGCTGAGGGAAGGCCCAGAAGATTAATGTTTATCTCCTTCCTTAAGTCTCTTACTAGCTAATGGTTACAGTCCCACAACAGCAACAGCACTAAAAATAAGGGCACTCTGATTTACCGGTGACTTCGAGTGGAGAGGAGACACACAGACTCAGGCTCCCAACTCCTCAAAGGAGCTGCCCAGCATCCAGAGGGTCCTTGTTGGCCTCTTAGTTCAGCCTTAACTCCAAGGAGCTGAGCCCTGTGTTCCCGGCAAGGCCCAGGTCTTCTCTGAACCCCAGGACTGCACCTTGATCCTCATTCTGATTCTAAGCTGTGGAGTATGGCAATTAACAACACATCGGTTTTGGAGTCAGACAGCCCTGGACTGAGCTCAACACTGCCACATCTGGCAAGCTATTAAACCCACCCGAGCTTCATTCATTCCTTCAAGAAATATTTATCATGGCTGATCACGGTAGGTCAATCTCAGTACTTTGGGAGGCCGAGGTGGGTGGATCACTTGAGGTCAGGAGTTCAAGACCAGCCTGGCCAACATGGTAAAACCCCATCTCTACTAAAAATACAAAATTTAGCTAGACATCCTCACTGGAACCCAGGAGGTGGAGGCTGTAGTGAGCCAAGATTGGGCCACTACACTCCAGCTTGGGTGACAGAGCGAGACTCTGTCTCAAAAAAAAAAAAAAAGAAATATTTACTGAGGCCTACCATATGACAGGCAGTATTCGAGATGCTAGGAAGACAGTGGTGAACAAAACAGACAAAAATCCCTGCCCTCATGGAGCTGACACTCTAGTGGATTGTATGTGGGGGAGGGACAGACAATAAGAAAACTCAATGGCACATTAGATGTCACAGCAAGTGCTGCGTAGAAAAAGCAGAGAAAGCGGGGAGTGTAGATTTAAGTAGGGCAGTCCAGGAAAGCCTCAGTAAGGAGGTGATATTTGATTAGGACCCAAAGGAGGTGAGACAGTGAGCCAGGCACCTTATCTTGGGAAAGAGGTTCCTCACTTCTTTTTTTTTAAGACTGAGTCTCGCTCTGTCGCCCAGACTAGAGTGCAGTGGCACGATCTCGGCTCACTACAAGCTCCGCCTCCCGGGTTCACGCCATTCTCCTGCCTCAGCCTCCCGAGTAGCTGGGACTACAGGCACCCACCACTATGCCTGGCTAATTTTTTTGTATTTTTTAGTAGAGACGGGGTTTCACCGTGTTAGCTAGGATGGTCTCCATCTTCTGACCTCGTGATCCGCCCGCCTCAGCCTCCCAAAGTGCTGGGATTACAGGCCTGAGCCACTGTGTCCAGCCAAGAGGCTCCTCACTTCTAAAATGGAGCCAGCAAGATCTGAGGTTTAACTGAGGTGGTACAGGTCAAGAGTTTTGCATAAGGTCTGGCATATAGCTCCTTTCCAAGGGCCCAGTGAGAAGCTTGACAGGGTCTCCTGGGCTGGGCCTGTGGCCACAGCTATCACCAGAGACACTGTGAATGGGACCCACTGTCCCAGGCAGATACAGGGTCTGCAACACAGCAACTAAGCCCTCCTGCCTGGCTTCTGGGCTCCCCACATGGTCCTCCATTGCAGTCCTGGGGGTGGAGTGTCCTTCCCTGTTTTGGCGGGGCCCACCAGTGTCTCAGTCTGCAGGTGACAGGCAGCAACAGGGGCTCCTCAGAGAGAGGGGAACACCGCAGGATGTGCCACTGTCTGCTTCCCTCCTCTTCCTCACAGCCGTGGCACCCTGCCATCCACAAGCTCTCCTCAATGAACAGAGGTTTCTGCCTGCCACGCTCTCCCCGTTCCTGCCGACATGCACTGCCCGGCCACCACCCAGCCTCTCCAGCTGTTGTCTCCTATCTCTTCCCCTGACACTTCCTGTCCTGTAGTCACCTCCAGGGCTGCCCCACAGCTGCAAAAAAGCAGAGGGTCCACCCCAGCAGCAGCGGTAGCAGAGGGGTTCCAGGATGGAGTAGTGGTTTCTAGATCATCTTTCCCAATGGCAAGGGCATCCCAGCTGGATGCAGCATCCCCAACCCCAAAAAGGGCGAGGCCACTGAATGGGCTTGGTCTATAGTGGGAGGGCCCTGGCTCAGTATCCCAAGGTGCTGCAAAGGTCTCCCTGGAGACACCCCTCCTTCCAGTGACCACTAGGGAGATGCTCAGACCTTCCAAGGTGGACCCTCCTCCACCCACCTTTCTACCAGTCTCATCCCCGCCCCTCCCACAGCCCAGCCCCCCCTTCCTGTTTGACAACAGCCACTTCCCGCTTTTGCACAGGGCCACTTCCTGCCTGCCTGTGTGCTACTG